GCTTGTAGAACTGACTCCATAGTAACAGGATTACCATGAATGTGTGTGCCTGGGCGTGCATATATTTTACTCTAAACATATTGTGTATGTGTATCTATGTCTGTGTCTGTGTCTGTATGTGTGTGTGTGTGTGTGTGTGTGTGTGTGTGTGTGTGTATTTGAGCCTAAACACAATAGATAGATGATGGATACATGGATGGATGGATGGATGGATGGATAGATAGATAAGTAGATAGATAGATAGATAGACTACTCATGGCTTAACTAAAATCATATACCACTATTACACCTCAAGTACTTTATAAGCAGCAAAATATGCTTGCCTAAATCCCTCTGCAGCATTTGAAAGAAACTATAGGAAATTATTTAAATGGCAAACAGAAGGAACAGAATGTTAAATAGAGTTGAGTATTAAAGACACCAGAAATCTGGAGCCTGCAGAAATGCAGATAACCATGAGCTGTATCTTAAGAATGAGAGTGCAGACCAAAGAGGGTGATAGTCCCTTGCTGCACATGTTAATAAACATCTCTTAAAATACATGGAAGATGAATAAAGCAACTACTAGACCTTTCTAATCTTGCTTAACCATCAAGGCAGGAAAGCTGTCTGTAACCATGTGCTAGAGTGACTGACGGCAAATAATATACCCATTGCCACCTAGTATTCGTGGTGTCAGCGGGAACAGGCTTCACTAATTCTAGGACCCAGGCCAGCATAAAGCTAATACTGGTTCCCACCTCCTGCTTGTATCAAAGGGGCTTTGGGTAGGAGAAGACAGGCATGAACTGTGTGCATGAAGACAGGCTTCTTACAGTAATTCTGTAGCACTGCCATTGATGTCAGGAAGTGGGTTCCTTAGAGCTCTTCTTCCTGAACCAGTCCTCAGCGGTCCATGGGTATGATCCATCACTGTCCCTTCTACTCATGGTAAGTACTCATGAAACATTCGCTGGACGAACAGAGCTGTCCAAGAGTGGACTCCACCCATTCATTTCTGACTGTGAACCTTGTTTATTCTTGGAAACAAAGTCTATGTAACCTTACTGGATGGTCTCTGGGTCTGGAGGGTATGTTGTGGCTCAGGGAAACATGTCAGGGCGGTAGAGGCTTTAGAAGGAAGTCAAGAAGTCACCTTGTATGACTGCAGTTGAATATGATGGCAAGAGAAATAGAAGGGTTTAACAAATACCTTTGAGTGTTTAAACAGCTGTCATGGGGGAGAAGGTGGCAGAATTGACTCTCAGGATACTCACTGATGAGCAGGCGTGCTGAGAGCTGGTCCACAATGGGGGACCATCTGCAACTTACCAAAAGGAGTATCTGTCTAGTGAGTAAACTGTAAAGCTTCCTTCTGTTTGATTGAGCCTCTCTGAAGATTCAAGCAGAAGCATGACAGTTACACAAAGTGGGCAGTAATACAACGTTAACAGAAATGGCTTCAGAGCTGGTGTAACTGTGTTCAAAGACCAAATGACCCTTTTTGGAGCATCCCTGGAGGACAGGTGATGGGAAATTCTGTGGACAGGTGACAGGGAAGAACTGTTAACAATGCACCTGGCTGTGCATTTTGCCTGCAAGAAGAAAGGGCCACAAGGGAAGGGTCTACTACACCAAGGGGCTATGGAAAAGGGTTTAACGGGATGGTCAGGAACTCTGGGAGGAACATCACCGGAAAATTGGTGACAGGAGGTTTGAGGAAGAGGTATACTGATAGATTTCTCTGAATGCATAAGGAATATGAAGAGATTTATATCCCATGTCCCATGTTGCTGCTCACCAACTTCAGCAGAGGGGGACTTCAGTAATCAAGTTGATGACATGACCCAATTGTGGGCACCAGCCACTGCTGTCATTGCCTGGAGGGTCAGAGTGACAGGGTTGGAGGTTGTGCGTGGGCTTCCACTCAGCAGTGCTGGCCTGGCTACAGCTAAATGCTCAGTCTGCCAGCAGCAAAGAGCAACACTGGTCCCAATATGGCACCACTCTCTGAGGTGATTAGCCAGCTGGCTGGTGGCCAGTTGATTACATTTAACCACTTCCATCATGGAAGAGTAGCACTTTGTTCTTCTGAAACAGATACTCTGAATACAGATTTGCCTTTCCAGCATACAATACGTCTATTGAAACTACCATCTCTGGGGGCCTGGGTGGCTCACTTGGTTAAGGGTCCGACTTCAGTTGAGGTCATGGTCTCCCGGTTTGTGAGTTCAAGCCCTGCATCGGATTCTGTGCTGCTGACAGCTTGGAGCCTGGAGCCTGCTTTGGATTCTGTGTCTCCCTCTCTCTCTCTGCCCCTCCCCCAGTCACACTCTGTTTTTTTTTTCTCTCTCTCAAAATTTAAAAAAAAAAAGAGAGAGAGAGAGAGAGAAAGAAACTACCATCTGTAGATTCTAACAAAAAGGGAGCAGAAGCTGCGTCTTCTGAGACTAAAGAAATTATCAGAAACTATCGGTTAGCCAAGCCCCCTGCTTGCCAATTCCCTACTACTAAACCTCAGGCCCCTGCTGGCCACCACTGTTGTTCTCCCACCAAAATGGGGTCTCTGCTGTGTCTCCCAGGCTTCCTAATAAACTCACTTGGGCTGGGCCTGGGCTCTTGTTTCTTAGTTTAGTCGGTAGGAAGTGGTCTGTAAATAATATAAATTCCCAGGCTCCACCCCCAAAAATCCGCATCAAGTATGTGTGAGGTAGAACCCTGGATTGTGTGTCTCTTTTTACCAGAGCCCCAAGTAAGTCCAATTCAGGTTGCCTACATTTTTAAAAACACCGACATAAGGAACCCACTCAGGGTAAATCCAGCATTCCAACTTCTTTCATACAAGAGTCATTTTAAGATACAACCACTAGATGTTTAATGTGATTACCTCACCATCTGTCTTAGATTT